TTACACTGGAGAATATATGTGAAATGTATATTATATACACATAATATGATGTATACACACTCCCATATAACGTAGTGATGATGTATAAGTTTTTGAAAATATATAATGAAGTTTGGAGTATGCATTTTGACAAGTCATATCGATTGCAATTGATCATATATATGATATTTTCTTTATGTATATTGATATTTAAGTCTATGTATTAAGTGTGTGCCCGAAAAAAAATTGATTGCTTAACCAAGCACCGATAGCTCACTTGGTTATAAAAAAAGTTGGAAAAAAATTGAGTCATTCCTCCCAAATTTGAATATCCGTTTGGAATGGATGGTTCATGGTTTACGCCTTAACATATATTTTGATTGCTTATATGATTAATAACATGTTAGATCTTTTTGTTTGTTTGATGGTAACGTACGGGTTTCGGCCCAAGCACGTACGTTATTTTATGGTTAAAAATATATTTTAGGGTTTGAAGATAACATACTTTCAATGGCTCTAAAAGGTCTGATAGACTAGTAGCTGAATCCACAGGCTATGTCCTAACAGATTACAAGTTAATCTCTCCTCTCCGATCACGATTAATTTGTCTTCTTCGACGTCAATGAAAATGATTTTTCAATAATTTGCCGATCATTAGTACTAGTAGAGAAACGTAAAGAGTAGGCAAAATATAGTATTGGTTAAAACCAGATTAATTATTAGGGAAAAGAAAAAAATGATTCTATTAGTTGATGTTGAAGATTGTGGTTCAATCAATAATTTGGTTTATGGCGAAAAATGATTCTGATTACATTTGACTATTCTAGTCCTCGTGCTAAAAATTCGAGTTTTGTCAGAAAAGTTAGATTAGCTTGTGTTAACCCAGAGTCTTGGTTTATCTCATATAAAAAAAAAAAAAAATTGAAAACGATCATGTTTAATGTTGTCGCGCATGCACATTTGTTTATTCTTCAATAGACAAAAAAAATCAACTTAAATTGATCAACGAAATTATTATGCAGTTGAAAATGGAAAAAAAAAAAGTAGAATTGTTTTCTTGATATCAATTATTGCAGCACATAGCATTCTAATCACCAAAAAAGACCAACTCAAAGTCGTATACATATAGATACGCATATAACAAACAAAAAGTACTACATTGATACTTTCATATAAACAATAAGTGATATGACACTTCAAGGATCAATCATGCTTGTAAGAGTTGTTTTTATTTATTTTTTCACCAAGGAAGTTCCGGGTCATGCCCATTAGACTATCAATGTGGGATAAATAAGAAAAGAAGTTTTTTTTTGAAAGAGTAAAAAATTTTGGACCATTTCTCGATTTGTGGGTGTCATTCTTAAATAATAAAAGAAGTTCTAAATGTGGAATTTTTTTTTCTTTTAACGAGCATCATCAACTGATTCAAATTTATCTAGTAAGGTGATTGTTTCAGTAAATAAACCACACATGAACTGTTTTACTTATATGAGAACATAGGAGACGACGTGTTGAAGCTTCTTTTGCAAGAGGATCAGTACGAACATTAACGTTACAAAATATAGAAATCAACCTAAATTCTTGAAAGTAATTTATAAAGCTGTAAAAATAATGTGGTTATAGTCGAAAGGATCTTGGTCCTTTTATTAGGGTTGCACATTATGTCTCACACCTAGCTGATATGACTCACATCTTTTGTAAGCATGTCATGGCCCAAAGAAGTTCGTCCAACTATGCACGAAATGCCGAAATATTTCTACCACACCTTTCCATACTAATTGTGATTTATTTTTTATTATCTTTTAAATTTCACTCTAATCCACCGAACGGTCCATGATCGATCTAAGAGGCATCGATTTGACATGTCATGATTTGGAAATTCTTAAATACCCTCTTTTGTTGCGTCTTAGTGTTGTATATCGTCCATTTTTCGGTTTCTTTTTGGTTGGCAATTCTCCGATTTTGCGAGTGACTTGTTATATGTTTGTTGGGACAATTTATTGACCGTTGAAAACATATATAAACAAATGCCGAATTTTTATTTATATAGAAAAAATACTGAAAATATATAATTTCCGAATTGTATTTATATAACTTTTTAGTCAACTTTTTTGTTGTTTTAACTTTTTAATCAACTTTGTTTCATAATGTAAATATGTAGTTCCGTATATTCCACACTAACCACATTTATTTACTCTTTCCATCTGTTTGCTCCGCACTGTCCATTCGACTATCTTTGGTAGTTCAGTTTGAGCCATGAACAAAGCAATAGGAAGCATGACTTCTGACAAACTCTCACGATTGTTCAACGTTGTAACTCACCAGAAACAGAGATCTCCTGTCTCCATCATTTCAGACCGAGAAACAGCCAAAGCAATCACGTCGTACCTGGAGAAGAAATCCGGTAAACTTCAGTCGAATCCATCGCTTCTCTTCAACTTGAATCCAAACGTAACCCGACTCGTTCTATCGGAACCTACTCTCCCCACTCAATCCTGCATCGATTTCTTCAAGTTTCTTCGCACATTCGAATCCCATCTCAAACCCGATCTCACGGCGGTTGTCACTTTATCTCACCGTCTGTATTCCTCCCGGAGATTCCACGAGATGAGATCTCTTCTCAACTCCGTTGCTACCGACGGGTTTTACAACCGTCCCGTCGAGGGTTTAGGTTCGGCGATGGTGGATTGCGACGTTTTCGAAGAAAAGCTTGGATTTTGCGAAACGTTTTTCGATTTGATGATTAGGGTTTATGTTGATAACGGAATGTTTGAAGAGGGTTTAAGGGTTTTTGATTACATGGTCGAGAAAAGATTGAGTATTGATGAGAGATCATGTATTGTCTTTCTTGTTGCGGCGAAGAAACGCCGGAAAATTGATCTCTGTTTGGATATTTTCCGGCGAATGGTTGATTCTGGAGTGAGGATTACTGTTTATTCATTGACAATTGTGGTCGAAGGATTATGTAGAAGAGGTGAAGTTGAGAAGAGTAGGAAACTGACTAAGGAGTACTCTGGTAAAGGAATTAAATTTGAAGCTTATACTTACAACACCATTATCAATGCTTATGTTAAACAGAGAGACTTTTCTGGTGTTGAAGAGGTTTTGAAGGTTATGAAGAAGGATGGAGTGAAGTATACAAAGGTTACGTATACGCTTCTTATGGAATTGAGTGTTAAGAATGGGAAAATGGTTGATGCGGAGAAACTGTTTGGTGAAATGCGCGAGAGAGGAATTGAATCTGATATTCATGTGTATACTTCTCTGATAAGTTGGAATTGTAGGAAAGGGAATATAAAAAGGGCGTTTTTGTTGTTTGATGAGTTGATAGAGAAGGGACTATCGCCTACTGGTCACACTTACGGGGCGCTTATTGATGGAGTGTGTAAGGTAGGGGAAATGGGTGCAGCTGAGATATTGATGAACGAGATGCAAAGCCGAGGAGTAGATATCAGTCAGGTGGTTTTTAATACGTTGATTAATGGGTTCTGCAGAAAGGGGATGATTGATGAAGCGTTAACGATTTATGATGTGATGGAGAAGAAAGGGTTTCAAGCTGATGATTTCACTTTTAATACGGTTGCTAGCTGTTTCAATAGATTGAAAAGGTACGATGAGGCAAAACAATGGCTGTTCAGGATGATGGAGGGTGGTGTGAGGTTTAACACGGTTAGTTATACTAATTTGATCGATGTTTACTGCAAAGAAGGGAACATTGAGGAAGCAAAGAGGCTATTTGTGGAGATGAGCAGCAAGGGAGAGCAGCCCAATGCTGTTACCTACAATGTGATGATCTATGCGTACTGCAAGCAAGGTAAAGTAAAGGAAGCCAGTAAACTAAGGGCCAACATGGAAGCAAAAGGGATGAGTCCGGATTCATATACCTACACATCGCTCATACACGGGGAATGTATTGCTGATAATGTGGACGAAGCAATGAGACTCTTTGGTGAGATGCGGTCGAAAGGTTTGGACCAGAATTCTGTGACATACACTGTGATGATTTCGGGTTTGTCCAAGGCTGGAAAATCTGATGAGGCATTTGGCTTGTACGATGAAATGAAAAGCAAAGGGTATACAATAGATAATAAGGTTTATACTGCACTCGTTGGAAGTATGCATTCACCTGAGACTTAGAACATGATCGTCAAAATAAGATCTGTTTGAGCTGCTTAACTCTGAAATCTACCTGTTGTTGGTTGAAATAGGTTACTTGAATCAGAACCTTTGGATATGTATCAGAAACGTTGCTTTTGGAGTATGATCATTTGGTATCCATATGACCAACCATTGATGTCTACGCGGTAGAGAAAACAAAGCTTGACTCTTATTATGAAACGTCTGTTCAGAGAATAAAGCCTTTGGACTTCAAGTGTATAAGCTGATATTGTGAAGGATTTTTCTAGAACTGAACCAAATCAAAGGGTTGAGATATTGATTCTGTGTATATACGCACGAGGAGCTAGAGAAGCCAGCCATGTATGAAGCTTGTGAAGATAGATATGTACTATGGATGATGTTGGTGTTGGAGATGGAAGATTCGATAAACTTTTAAATCAGAGATGGCTCCAAAAGAGAATTTTTTTACTTCAAAAAGCTGAGAATTATAGCTCAAGCGCCAGTGCTGATGAGGGTATCACTCCTGAGAAACATGGACTGAATCACAACTCGTAATCGAAGCCAGCGCCATATTTCCAGGCCTCAAGACGTCTCTTCCACTCAAACTTCGTCTTCGATGGAAGTCCTTCCAAAGCAGGACTGAGGAATACACAAAAAGATCAAGAAGGTTCAGGAAACACGACATTGATAATGTCGCACAGTAGAAGCAACAGTCCGGTCTTAATTTCTTAAACAGATTCAGAACTATTTCACCTTATTACTGGATCGATGTATGCAGAGAGGAATGAATACAAGCCCAGCATGAAAAAATGGACGGCCCAATCAAGCAGAACAGGTATCCCGACCTGAAGATATCATCAAAGAAATCAGATTCCATGAACAAGTTGAGAATATTTTAATCTTTTGTCTGCATTTTCGTGGTTTCTGGTTCAAAGATCAACGGGTACAGGATGAAAGCTATACCTGTCTGAAAATCGGTGGAATTATCTGAGGTTTGGTCAGCATGACAAGGCCTAATGTCTTTGCTAGAGGACCAAACTGTATTATATCCTGAAGAAATGGTCTGAGAACCGGATCACCCAATCTCTACAATAGAAAATGAAATCACTGCTTAAGAGCTAAAGTTCAAAACTCCCATTTCGCGGTTCCCGCAAAAGAGGAAGATGTACTAACCTGCATGCAACTGAAATTCACATGGAGAAGCTCGTTGATGAAGCCAGGTGAAACATCGGATTGTTGCTTCGCAGACATTGCCCTTTGAAACAGCCATGATGCACTCAAGTTTGGCTGTCGTTCAAATGACAAATGGTTTCAGTGAAGTTAATGACAAGGGAGAAAGAATTATAGCTCAGAAGAACCACAAAGCTTTACCATATAAGGATTTAGCTTTGACAAGCTGTGTGAGTCCAGAAAATCTCCATCAATTGCTTCATAGATTCCTTTTGTTAAGTTGAAGAAAAAAATTATTAGAAACTGAAGATTCTGGTACTATATACTGTAAATTTCCATGATATAAAAGTTATATAATGTTCAGTGACAGTTGGAGACACCAAACGCATTTTCAGAGAATGAATGTATATATATACCAATGGACAATCTTCCGAGGTGTCTGGTCAAACTTCCAAAACCGCCAAATGAAACAGGTGACTGAATGCCGCTAGCATCACCAAACTGCGGTGAGAGTACAAATTTGTAAGAAACTTTAATCATTTTCTGTATCGAATTATCAAAACTGCGTGATTTTTTCTTGGTAGCGTATGTATAAGTGAACAATACCCACCTGTAGAACACGATCAAATGCCGCTTGCAACGGACTGGTGATAGGTCCAATCCAACAGGGGTTAGAAATGTCAGAATGCAGCAGTATTATCGTATGAAACTGGTAACAGAATTATAATATTTATCAATGATAAGGGATTCTAATTTTTATAGATGATAGAGATACACAGCATCAATGGAGTTTCATGTCAAGGGCGTGACCTATTTCGGTATGTAGGAAAGATTCCGTATACAACTCTCAGTATTTCCAATTCATCAAGAGAGACTCCCTGAACCAAAAAGTAATTACATGAAACGACAACAGAACAAAGAAAGAGAGGAACGTTGTCTAGAGATGGAAACTCACTTGGTATTTTGGCATCAACTTCCAGTATTCTTCAAGTAAATCCTCTAAACCCGGAGATGATGATTGCGGTTCAGTGTAAGTGAACATGTAAGTAGTGCGGTCTAATGGACCAGAACCAGCCGGGAAGGCCTTCAAGCAACAATAATCAGCTTTATTTTTAATCGCATTCTATACCGTGTATGTGAGCTGTAGGTTGTAGAAACAGTAAACAAAAGATTTTACCTCCCAAAAGAGTTGTACATTGGAATCTGCGACTTTGCTCACAGATGAACTACTGTAAATCACATCGCTCAATGAATTCTCTTTGAACCCATGAGCACAAGATCCAACCACAAGGCACATCCCATCTGGCTTTCTTCCACGTTTGATCTTTTGAAGTACAATACATGACAAGACCAGTATTCTAATCAGTGATTTTGGTCAGTAATATCGGTAATCTATAAGTATTTTAGAGATGCGGAAGAGGAAAATGTCACAGGACAACACATAATATGCTCAGGAAAAGGGAATCAGAAAATTTGATATTTTTATGACTTTATCCATTGCAAATGAAAAATAAAATTAGTCCAGAATATGACCTGCTTCAAAATTGGAGAAAAATTTCCCATTGCATCGATGACCAGACGGGTAGATAATATGTCACCTTTAGAAAGTTGCAGAACCTATTAATCAAAAGAGTTCAAACAATTCATATCAATATGTTGAATTCTCTTCGTAATTAGAATGTTTTTAGAGAAAGCATCAGATAACTCACAGCTAAATCATCGTAGATGAGGATGTTTGAGAGGCTGCAGTCTTCTAAAATGACTCCACCAAGAGAAAGGAAGCGTCGTTTCACAGTTTCCACAAGTTTAGCTGGGCTGGTTCAACAAAAAATGGGAAACCAATTCATCACTTTCAGAAGCTAGCAGATAAAATGAGGATATTTCTTTGCCTTCTAATTAGAAAATAAGAGGAGACAGGACTCACGAAACACCGAGGTTAAGAATATCTTCAACCCATATATCACCAAGATTCTCGAAACCACATCTGTTCTGCATTTTTTTCAAGATAACCTTAACCTTAAGCATCATGGATTTTAATCGAGAGATTCAAGTCATTTGCTTACTGAGCAGAAGCTTTACCGGATTGAACTTTGCAGCGATTACTTCTTCGATCTCATCTTCTGTTAAAACTCCGACTTTAGTCAGCTCCTTCATTTCTTTCCTTGAGATGTTCCATTCTTGATCTCTCTAACTCACCACAAAACCAAAAAAAATCATTAGAAATAGCTTCTCCAATCACACATCTCAAGCACATCATTAGAAGATTTACCCCCTTGATCGCATTTCTCTCCACCACAGCAACTCTTAAACCCTTGGCACATAAAGCGGTGGCGAGGAAGATCCCCAAAGTACCCCCACAAACCGCTATGTCAAATGTTCCGACGAGATTATCCCCCACACCATATTCTGGAGAAGTACCAGAAATCCTAGAAACTATTTGCTGCGTTTCTTGCGGCCCTGCAAAAATGTTTTTGCAAAGACTAAACTTTCATCACCAAGAGAACACTTCTTTATTAATATGAAATGTTAACAATTTTATTTGTTATACCTGTTGGTTGAGTACATATGTTGGACCAAATATTGTCAAGTCTCTTTAAGGCATTGTAAGAGTAAACACCACCAGCACCTCCAGCTTCTCCACCTACTGAAATGTTCTCCATTATCTTCTGCATATCGAAACGATCGAACTCATAACTCAGCTAAAAACATCTCATCACGAAGTTAAAAGTGCTTACGCAAACGCTAAAAGGCTCTCAAAAGATTCAAATACTACAATGAACAATCAAAATCAGTGATTGGATCAAACTCAACCAAACTAGTTCTTTTTAGTGACTTGTATAATTTGATAGATTCACACACAATGCAGACCACAAAATCATCTCAATTTCTGATAAAGTTCGCAGCTTTTTTCTCATATGAAGCAGCAATTACACCAAGAAGCAGAGGAACACAGAATTGAGCGGAATTGGTCATCAAGCAGGCAGCTTTTGAAGCAATTACAGAACACATTCAAGAGTAAGAGTCACCTGTGTTCTAGTGGGAGGAGGAGCCACTTGTGTTTGAACACAAACTGTCGTCGAAGCTCTTCCTCTTCCTCGGTTTGTCCGAGACCTTGATACGAAATTAACGAACCCATTATACTGTTGAATTTGCAGAACCACCATGATAACTTCCAGAAAAAAACTCGTAGATGCTATAAACCCAGAATGGAGTTTTGAAATGAAACAGTGATAAAAACTGGAAGATTGCGCAAAATGTGTCAGAGAATGTGACACGTTACAGGGCCAAATTTTACAAGAAAAAAACTTTTGGTTCAAAATGAAAATGTATCTAAATATTGGGGTCGGTTCTGTAATTTTCAGTATGATCCTCTCTAAGCTTTTTATTTTACAGTCATTACCAAAATCGAAATGGATAAGGCATCTGGTTCAGGGTTTTAGGGTTTTTGAAGCGAGAAGTGGCTCACTTCACCATCCACAGGTAAGAATTTAGGTTTCGTTGTCCTACGATTGTTTTGGTTTTGAAATCGATAAACTTTGTTTGGCTTGATGGGTTTAAATTTCATAAAAAATTTTGATTTTTCTTCGGGGATTACATTTGGGCACTGGTTAGTGATATTTCATACTGAGAATAGCTCTCTTTCGAACAGAAACTCATGTAGTAGATGATGATAATCTGGAACTGAAACACTCAACGATGTTGTGGTCAGATTTCACTTCTCTGAATCGAATTAGCAAATGGGTATAAACAAATTTCTTGAATCTTGAGTTGATTCATAAGCTAAATTGGAAGGAGTTAGACGATAAAGCTTCATACTTTACAAGAATTCACTTATACACAAGACTTTGGAATTACCCTTTCTTCCTCTCTTTGTGGGTTTGTTTTTAATGGAGCTTCTCTTTATTTATCCGCAGATTCAAAACTTCGTTGCACTAGATTGGATTCAAAAGACTTGAGTACAAGCAGCCATGGCAAGTCTGATAATGGCTACGCCGTTCCCAGGTTCTATCGCTCAATGCAAGAAGACAAATAACTTGTCTGTTCAGAGAGCCTTTAGAGTAACATCTATGCAGATAGAGAAACCGTTGGAGGAGCTATACAATGTTAAAGTGGAACGGAAAGTGTCAAAGAAACGGTTAGAGGAGCTCGGGGTTTCGAGATGGTCGGTTTGGAAGACAGGGAAATGCAAATTGCCATGGGATTGGCAAGTGGATCAGTTGGTTTACATAGAAGAAGGCGAGGTTCGTGTTGTACCCGAAGGAAGCAAGAGGTTTATGCAGTTTTTAGCTGGAGATCTTGTTCGGTATCCGAAATGGTTAGAGGCTGATCTTTTCTTTAACGCTCCTTATCGTGAGCGATATTGTTTCAAGGCGTATGGTGATGATTGATCGAAAGTAGACTTGGTGGGTTTTACTTTTGTTTGTTGTAGCCTGATGAATCTTTTCTTTTCAGTATTTGTAATGCTTACATTATTAAGTAAACAATGCAGCTTCATCTCTCAATGTGCCTTTCTTCAATGGGAACTTAATTTCACACTTTCAAAAAAAGGAAAACAGAAGTACTAGATTAATCCTAAGGTTGTCTGATCACTCTGCGCCTGTTCTGACCAGAGCTCTTGATGAACCACTCAGGCTTGTACAAAGCAACAACATGTGCTATTGCCAGTCCTAGCAAGACTCCAGGCCCATACGCTATTGCCACTGCTCTCCACTTTAATATTTCATCTTCCTCTTCTTCATCTTCGGGGTCTTGCGTCGATGGAGTCTTTTTGCTTAAGCAGCTTTCTTCAAGAGGAAGTCCACATAGTCCTGGATTCCCTTCAAATGATGATTTAGGTTGCCCTCTGATTTGCGTCCCATGTGGTATTTCACCAGTGAGCTGATTATCAGAGACATCTAAGTACGCCAAAAAAGAGAGGCTCCCGAGTTCTTGTGGAATTTTCCCCGAGAGTTTGTTTCTTGACAGGTCTAATGACTCGAGCACGGTAACATTTGCGAAAGACATAGGGATATGTCCACTGAATGAGTTGTTTGATAAGTTGAGCGCAATCAACGACTTCAAGAGACCAATAGATTCTGGTATCTCTCCTTCGAGTTTGTTTCCAGAGAAATCAATGGCGGCGTAGAAAGTAAGAACCTTTCCTTGCTCCACGTATAGACCTTTGTATTGCAAATCCAAAGTATCATCATAGGCATACTGATTACTCGTAAAATCTCCCATATACAGCCTCTCTTCATCATTCATTTTGAGGGACGTCGCGCTCCAATTCGCAAAGTAATTTGTTGGTAAGCTTCCGGTAAACCTGTTATGTGATATTTCAAGAATCTGAAGCTTAGGAAACGCGAGAGGACCTTGATCATCAGGTGGAGATATAGGACCATGGAATCTGTTTGAACGGAGAGTAAGGACTTTCAAATTCGGCAATGCCTTGAGCCAGAAGAGAAATGAGTCATTGATTCTGTTGTGATCCGCACTTAGAAACTTTAGGAGAGAGCAATTCAAGAGAGATCTCGGAAGCTTCCCGGTTAGTCGATTGTATCCAATGTCAAATGTCTGTGTCGAAGCGCCGCTATAAAACTCGTCTGGAATGTTTCCTTCCAATTTGTTTTTCCGGAGATTCACTATGGTGAAGTTACTCAGACATGGAGGAATTGAGCCGGTGAATTTGTTGTAGGACAGATCAAAAACATCGAGAGATGTTCGGTTACAGATCCAAAGAGGAATGTCTCCTGTGAAACTGTTGTTCCAAACAGACAAGTTGATGACAGAGAATGGTGGATTAGGTAATGATCCTTTGAAAGAGTTTAGTGCCAAATCTAGTATCTGCACCGAGGAATCGGCTAAAACATGATCCAATGAGCCTTCGAAACCGGTGAAAGAATTGTTAACAAGACTCAGAGAGGTCAAACTAGGAAGACTCCATAACCAAACAGGGACGTTCCCTTTGATTCTGTTGTCAGAAAGATCCAAATACTCTAACAGCTTTAAGGGTTTCAAGAATCTAGGGAATTCACCAATGTTACATCTCGACAAGCTCAAGATCGTCATGTTTTTGGGGAAATCAATGTCTGAATTCACACTCGTTGGTGTTAAACTGTTACCCAAAAGATTGAGGTACGACAAAGATTTGAGAGAAGAGAAGAGACTTAACTCAATTGGGAGGCTTGTGTTTAAGAATGAGAGACCTAGATACCGAAGATTGACTAACTTCAAGACTTGCTCTATGATCTCTACATCAAAATGGTTATTCCCAAGAAGTAAAATCCTAAGCTTAGAAGATAAAGAATTAGAGAGTTTTTCAATAGAGCCAGTGAGATGATTCTCACTCAAATCAAGATACGACAAGAAAGGCATGTTGAACAGAGAAGAAGGTATGGTTCCAAAGAATTGGTTATAAGAAAGATCCAAAGCTGAAAGCTTTGTTAGATTCTGTAACAATGGTGTTAAATTCCCAGTGAGTTTATTGTGTGAAAGCATTAACTGGGTTAGGTTTGTGAGGTTACGTAAAGAGGAAGGAACTTGGCCTAGAAAGCCATTATTGGAGAGAATCAAAACCTCAAGATTGTTGAGTTGGCCAA